GGGGGGGGGGGGCAGGCAGCTAGGAGTGAGGGCCAGGGGCAGGGCAGGGACATTTCACTATCGCCCCCTCCATCATATATTCCTCCCCACACCTACAGGTACCCTCTTTGTTAAAAATGGAAATACGGCAACCCCAGTGCAGGGCTCCCCCACGGCCCCGTGCCCGCCCCCCCCTAGAGACACCGCAGGGCCCGCCCGGCACCTGTTCTCTACGTCCAGCGGATCCGGGACCTCGGGCTTCACCTTGACCTCGGCCATGGTGCTGGGGGGGAGAGGAGGAGCGCCTCCCCACTCCACGGTCCCCACACACAGCCCTGCAGCAGCTGCACCGGGGCCGTACGGCGCGCACTGATGACGCTAAACCACAAACTCCGCCCCCACCAAAAGCCATGGGCGCCGGTTGCGGGGGAGCGGGCGGCGTACCAATGAGAGGCCGCTATCTCAGGGGGGCGGGGCTTGGCGGGGAGCGTCCGTGGTAACGGCAGGGCGACGGGAGCGCGCAGGAGAGGGTGAGGGCCCGGGAGGTGGGGGTGAGTTTCGCCGCGCTTTTATCTGCCTTGCCCGCCTGCGTGCGGGGGGGATGGGTATGTGTGTGTAGGGGAGTGTGGAGGTGTATGAGGGGGTGTATAGGGAGACTTGTGTATGGGGGGTGTGCACATACATGTATGCACCGCTGCAGGTGTGTGTATGCACATGCACACAAGGGTGTGCCCACACACATTTTAAAAGTCATATGCTGTTTCGTTTTTTAGGGGTCCGCACAGAGGGAAAAAATGACTGCTGGTTCTGTCCTCGTGCCTCAGATTATACCGCTTCAGCTTCCTCTTGCTGGGAAGGCGAAACATGAAATAGACACAAACACCCTTGTTGAAATAAAGTCAGGTACAAACAGCAGCTTTCAGTCTGCAGTGGAAGCTCTTCTTTTCTTCTGCAAATTGATGTCCATGCTTTTTGATACTGCATTTGTATTCACACCTTTTTTCACAGGTACCCGTTTTCTTAAGTGACCAGCATAAATGATATGGGTCTTAATCCTGCAAACACACCTGTGCTTTATACGCATGGGTAGTCCGACTGTAGTAAATAACACTATTCACATAATGTAAACTGTAAGGTAAATCATAGGTGTCAGTATTTGCACCATCAGGGCCTTTAATTGTACTACTTTTGTCCTCGTTCCATTTGAAGTGCTGCTGTGTTTGTTCTGTAATCACGGTGTAGTATGAGAACCTAGGCGTTTGATGATTTTGCAGTTTGCTGTGATTTTACAAAACTGGGACTTTCTGGTCAGTTCTACTCCAGAGGTCATATCTGCCACTTCTGAAATTCCAGTTTCTATTTTTCAGCCATAATCCATGTTCACATTAGAATGTGCAAGATTTAGAACCAGTGTTCATTTTCATACAAAATCACCTGCTCTACAGTTATCTTCTGAGAAGGGAAATCCCTGTGATGAAATTGTGCAACTATTTTGTCGCTGAATTTTGTGAGGCTTAAAAATTGATATAGTCCAGGCCTTGCAATCACTTGCACACCTGCTTAATTTTGCTTAGATGAGTAATTAAGCATATGCGAGCCTTGGCAGTACTAGGCTTCCTTATTTTTGCACAGTCCCAATATAGTTGTAATGCATATCTTATTTGTGTCTTGCAGATACCCCTGATGTCACCATATACTACACTTTAGATGGAAGTAAACCAGAGCTCTTTAAAAAATCTTGCTATGGAGAGCATAACACTTTTAAGTATAAGGAACCTATCACCTTGCCTGATGGGAAAATAATGGTCAGAGCTATGGCAGTCACAAAGTAAGTAGCAACTGTCTATCTTATACTGTTGTTGTTGTTGTTATTTATACTGCAGCAGTGCCTGAGAATGGCAGTCAGGGATCTTGACTACCCTGTGCCAGGTGCTGTACAAATATGGAATGAAAGATACTCCTTGCCTCACAAGGCTTACAATATAAGTACCTTGTATGGATTCCTTTTCATTGATATCAGTTTGCCACCATATTTATTAAAATTTACTAATTACTTGCCATGGGCATTAGTCATCGATGAGGGCCCAATTTCACTAGGCACTATAGAATCTTGCCATGAAGAGTTTTCATCATAAATACGTTTGTATAATAAAAGTAAATTATTAAGAAAATAAAGATTAGTGAGTCCTCTTCAAAAGATGAGCTAACACATTTTCCCACTAATGCTGTGTGGTAGTTTAATATTCCTTTTCCCATTTTACACGTGGCAGTCCAGAGACGGGAGCAGTCTTTCCAGGTTTCTGTGGGTGTGGACATGTAACAACTGAACCGTTTAAAAAAATGTCACTGATTGGGAACTGGTTCACAATTGTAATGGGTCAGAGATGTTGGCATGTACAGTGCCCCAGCCTTCCAGGTAGAAGGATTGCCTTTTAGTCATTGAAGAATTGTAGCTCCAACACCAGAGGATGGAAGTGAGCACTCAGCCCAGCCTGCCTCGCATTGGGCAAGTAATGGGAGGAGAGTGCTTATACCTATGCTTTGAGGATCCTAAGAGGTAAGTGACCTGTAATTGTGGTTCACTTTTTTGCTTTCCTTTTCTCCTAAACATGAATTTATTAAAGTTCAGTAGCATCCACTTGACCAAAGTCTGCAGTGTGCTTATCTGCCTTTGGAGGGGAGAGGGGGAGTGCTTGGATCCATATTTTTGGGTTCCCAGGGGAGTCATGATGAAGGACCATGGTTGAGTAGGGGATAAGAGCACAGCTGGTTGCTAGAAAAATAGCTTTCATTAAACAAGCAGTGCCCTATAAATGTGGTAAAAAGTGCCAACAAAAAAAAGAAGGGACAGTAGAATTTTGGCCCTATACCAGAGCAGAGAGTTACAGCAGAGCGGTGGAGAGGGGATGAGAAGTGATGCAGTGTTGGGTGCTTAGACCATGGAAACTCCCGCCAACCTGAGTCATGGAAAACTTGGACTCCACAAATAACATTGATGCAGTTCACAGTGAACCAGTTCGAAAGAGTACTTGGTTTTCCAGGTACTCATCTGAACCATTCCAGGCAGTTTAAAATTGGTTTAACAGACTTGTATGTCTATATCAGGTTTAAACAGCGTGTAAACCATTCTTAGTGTTATGTCTGTCCAGACCCAAAGCATACTGCTCAAGCCCATCCACTGGGTTAGTAGTAGATTAAAGTCTGGTTGTTCATAATCCCAACCCCCCAAGCATCACTAGATCACACTGGGTGCATCTGCACATGCAAATGCTGCTAGATGGGTTTACTCCACAGTAATTTACTGGGGAGGAAACCCACCCTGGGCAGGCATCTATATGTGCAGGCATTTGGGACCAGATTTGCTCCCAAACAGAGCAGCCCAGAGAAGGATGCTCCCACCCTGCTTTGGCCTCCTGAAGCAGCCAGGGGAAGCTTTAGGCTTCCACTGGGTGCAAGCGCAGGAGCTGGCAGAGAGCATGGAGCCAGGAGACAGCTGTCTCCTGGTGGGGGCTGGGAGACTGCTCCTTGCCCCTGGGAGGTACTTGCTGCTGGGGTGGGCACCAATGGTGAAGTCTGGCTTGGGACTGTGTTCCTGTGCCCCAGCAGCAGAAAGCTCCTGTCCCTGGCTCCACAATTGGGGGCAGGGGACTTGGAAATTGTTGCAAGGGAGGGGCAGGTCCCAGCCTCCTACCCCAGTCCACCAGTGGGGCAGCTAGCAGCGAACCTCAGCTGGGCGTGGATTTCCCCCTCAGCTGGAGTTGGCTGGGAGCTGTTCCACCAGTGGGGCAGCTAGCAGTAAGCCCCGGCTTGGCAGGGATTCCCTACTCAGTCAGGGACTCACTGCTAGCTGTCCCACTGGCAGATGAGGTCAGGGGCCTGGGACAGCTCCCAGCCACCCCCGGCTTAGCAAGGAATCCTCGTCCAGCTGGAGGCTCACTGCTAGCTGCCCCACTGGCAGATTGGGCAGAGGGCTGGGACCTGCCTGTCCTCTGCAGCTCTTTCCAAGCCCCCTACCCCCAATTGTGAAGCCAGGGCCAGGAGCTCCCCGCTGCTGGGACAAGGGGTCATTGTCCCAGCCTAGGCTTTGCCATTGGAGCCTGCCCTGGCAGCAGGCAACTCCCTGGGGCAGGGAGCTGTCCACCCTTCCTCCCACCTCCTCTCCTCCTCCTCGCCAGCTGCCCAACTGACTGGAAGCAAATTTGCTCCTGGTCACCTGTCTACACATGCAGACACTTACTGCGCAATACATTGGTCTACTCCACAGCAAATGCAGGTAGCAAATTAACTACGTATTTACTGCATAGTAAGGCATGTATAGATGGCTGACTGGGAGCAAATTTGCTTCCAGTCGGCCAGGCAGCAGGGGGCAGGAGATTGATCCCTGCCCCTGGAAGCTTACTGCACAGTAAAGTGTTCGACTGTGCAGTAAAGCGTCTTGAGTAGACATGTCCACTGTCTCCTAATATTAAAATTCAAGCACTTGAATTTTAAGCAGCGTGACCTGGCCATGGTGCCACTAGTTTCTTGTGCAGCATTTGTGGATGTTGGAGCATACTTTTAGGTTCCATTCCCTGGGTTTCGGGGCTGAGGTATCAATGACATGTTGAGTGTGTTGCAGCAGAGAGTGCTGGCCTAAGCTGCTGTTAGATCTGCACTATGGACCCCTAATTATAAGTAGTCATACAAAGTAGGAGATAATTCTCTTTTGGGTTGACCATTGAGAACACTGGTGATTACCAGCATGATGTGTCTTGGGGCCTGCAAAGTAGCCAGTGGTCTATGAATATTTAGCACACTTACAAACATGCACCAGCTTTCTAGGATTCTGCTCAGTGCATATTGAGCCAACACTGGAAACTGGAGCTTCACAACTCAAGTACAGCATAGCTCATAGAACAAAGTAAATTGGGATGACTTGGACAGGGAGAACAAATGGCTTGATCCTGCTTTGCATCCACCAAGCTTGTGACTAGCATGAGAGAACTTCACCCTAAAACCCAGTCACCTCAGATACCCTCACTTTACCTCTTCCTGTTTATCTTATGTTTACAAGGTGTTGGAGATTTTCCCTCCACCTGAATGTCTAGGTGATTGCTTGCACTTATCTTTACTGGCACCAATGCAGAGTGTTTGCTTCCACTTGCCCCGGAGTGAAATAACCTCATACTCACTGTGCAAGGGCTTGCACGATCAAGGACTTTGCATAGTTCCTGCTGTCACCGCCTAGACCTGCACATGTTTTGATTATTGTATTGATAAGACACTTTCCCAGATTTTACACCGCTGTTAAATAGCTGGCCTGGAATTGGCATTTCATATATGCTAAATGAATAGCATGGATGTAGAAAATCTATGACACAAAAATCACCTCTCTAGCAGGGAGCACTGCAGTCAGGACAGCTCATTGCTGTATGCCCAGTGTTGCACTAAAATGGCTACACTGCATATGTTTCAGGGCATGGTGCACATGGAATAGGCATGAAATGCTTCACCGCAGCACTCCCTAGTAGGGTCTTGGACAATGAAGAAAAGTCCTGAATGTCAGCAGTGACATTTATGAATGACAGACGCTGACATTTAACACAGCAGCCACAGAGATAAATACTCCCCTACCATACATCCTTATAAATAATGGGGAGCATGCTGCCTTCCCTCATGCAAACAAATAGCACTCTAGTAAGGCATATTGGGAGCATTTTGTGTAAAAGAGGAACAGGTATTAAACATATCCATTTTTTTCTATCCATTTTTTTTGGTGAATTTTATCATACCTAGAATATCAGTGGTTTTTATGATGCATTGATTGATTGGAAATATTGACTGGGATTATGCTTGTTTGATGAAATAGTAGTCTGCTGTCCAGAAGGAGGAGTTTCAAGACAGGACCTATTTTCAGTGATGATTTACTTTTTACTGCACATAATTTTGTGGTATACCTTTTTACTGACTTTCAGGGACTGCAGAGAAAGTGCCATTATAACAAAGATGTTTTTGGTAGAATACAAGCCACCAAACATACTGTTCTCTGATGAAGATAATGATAAGAATTTCCTGAAGGACCTCTTCAAACAGGCAAGTTATAGTAACAGTAAGTCCTTGTTTAGCCATAACAGTATTAAATTTCACAGAGATTAAATTCTGTTAACCGTAGAGTATAATTATTTTAATTTACCAGTTTGTCCATCTTAGTTGCTTTTACACTTTTAGAAAAGTGGCTATTTTTACTTTGTTAGCGGAGCCAGTTAGAACTATTCTGATCCAAATGGATAAAAGCCTAAGTTTTAAAAAATATTAAAACATATGTCTTAACATGTAAGTCAATTTTTAATTAAAATATCTTTTCTTTTAAAAATAAAACTACTTAAAAGTATGAGTAATATTTATTAACTCCAGTTTTAAATGCAAAACATGTAGACAGACTATTTTTCTTTCCTGTATCCAGTATATTTAGAGTAGGTTTTTTGTACCAAATATAAAACATGAATAATTGTTGGGTTTTGAGCATTTTAATGAGGCCTGCTGCCTCCCAGGGGCCTGTATCTGGGATGTAGCTGAAAGGAACCCTAAACTTGTCTGACCCTTCGACCACTACCTCATATTCCTCATCCATGTGGGCACAAATGACACGGTTCAGAGCCATCCCAGCCAGGTCATGAGTGACTACAGGGCTCTGGGGGCTGGGCTCAGAGGGTTGGGGGCACAGGTGGTTTTCTCCTCGATCCTTCCTGTTACAGGCGCAGGAGGGAGAGATGTATTGATGAAATAAACAGAAGACTGAGGTGTTGGTGCCACTGTGAAGGCTTCAGCTTCTTCAATCAGAGTCCGCACCTCAGAGACAGAGGCAGCTGTCTGTTGGGAAGAGACGGCCTCCACCTCACCCCAGTGGGAAAGAAGCTATTTTTGACTGGATTGGCTGACCTTCTTTAAACTAATATCAGTGGGGGACAGACGGACAACCATCCTCTGCAAGCTCAGGAAGTGATAAACACATAATCAGCAGGTCAGGAAATACAATCAAACTTATTCTGACCCCAGCCCAAGGATGGGATTCTCCTAAATGCACAAAGAAGCAAGCCTAGGGCTTCTGATGGCAGGCTTAGCTACCTGTACATGTATGCCAGGAGCATAGGGAACAAACAGGAGGAACTGATCCTTCTGCTAAGCAATAATAAATAAGATTTCATAAGGATAACGGAGACCTGGTGGGACTGCACCTATGACTGGACCACAGGTATAGATGGCTATACCTGTGACAGGATCTTTTCTTGGTTGGTCTTACCACAGATCATGAGGAGTCGGGAGGACAGTGAACAGGCTTGGTGATCTTTATTGATAACTGTTAATGTAGCTGCGCAGCAGCTTAAACTCACTCACCACGCCTCGCACACCCTAATGGTGCATGAGACCAACGGATCTGGTTGGTGAGTTGTCTCAGGGGTTTCAGGTCG